AGGGTGTGGCTTTCCCCCCTAGTTCATCTCCACCTCACTACCTTGTGTGGGAAATAGTGAGGGTCATAGAACAGAAATGCTCTGTGAGTAGTGACAAGTAGATTTATGAGTCATCGAATGAGCATAAAGAGGAAGGTGGCCATGATTCCAGAAGACTCCGTGGTTTCCATCCTGAACAAAACCACCCAACACTTCCCAACTTTTAATTATCATGGATTTCCTGGAATTCCTTTATTTCGTTTATTTCTGGGGTTTATCTTAGGTATACATTCCTAAATAATACACAATGTCTCCTCTTTAATGTCTCCTTTTTAATGTTGGGTAAATGGAATAATCCTAAAAACATCGTTTTATAATCATCTACATGTATTTGATATTATATGTGATGATGGATATACATGACCCTTGCAATTTCAAGTTGTGCATTTTGATTGATATATATTATTTGATAATTTTTTATACAGGACACCAAAATGTCTCTTTTCTTGTGCATACAATCTTATAGTGCTTTTTGCGGGTGGTGGGGGGAGTGGTTAATAAGAATAACTTGTCAATGTCCTTGTGTGTGACGCACATGTGCACATTTTCTCTAAGGCATGTGTTTAAAGACGTAGCTGTGTGTCTCTAACTAGATGATTGTCATGAAGTCTCTGAATGGATGAATATAATTGGCACTCGTACAAGTAATGCAGTAGGATTCTATGGACTCACGATTCTCTCCCACAACTGATAGTATAACATTCCTTTGTGCATCTCATCTGGATGGGTTGGGAGCATGGTCTTGTGTTTTCATGAAAACTGTGCCCCAACCTTGAAGTAGAAACCATCGTGACACATCAGCTAGAAGGGACTTAGGAGCACTGTGGGGCTATCAGTGTGGTGTTAATGGTGTCCCACATGGGCTTGTACTGTTTTGTGAAAGTCAGTTTGTGTATCGCTTCCCAAGTCTGCCTGAGGACCTTACTTGGGCTCTTGTTGATGGCCGTGAAGGGGACATATATATCAGAGAAAGTGGCAAATGGCAGGAATCAGTAATTTTTTATATTAAATTTATTGAGGTGCCATCGGTGAATAACAGGACATAGGTTTCAAGGATGCACATCTGTAACATGTCTTCTATGTCTTGCACTGTGATTTGGACATTGGGGTTTTCAGAGGCAGCGCAGACCAGGCGACCCCTTCAAACAACCATGTCTGGATCCCAAGGGGTGAAGTTTATGTGGAAAGCACAGCGGTGGCCTCCGAGGCCAGGTGAGGGGCGTGTGGAGTCCAGAGAGGGCATTAGGACCTCCTGTGGGTTTACCTCTTGCAGGATGGATTGTGCACCTTGTAGATGGCTACAATAGATTGCACACTCTGGACTCAGGAGATGGGGACTCTATACTGACATGAAGGTTCATGTGGTTAGAAATAAAGGAAAACATATTCCATGAAAGTATAGGGAGGTGTGGGCCTGTACCTGCCATGTGGGATAAATGCTAATTTCACCAAAATGGGGAAAGTCAGGAACCAGTCACAGGACTCACAGTGGTCGGGAGGGAAAGGACCACAGTTCAAGGGCAGAAGGTCCAGAACTAGTCCCGGCACATGAGCGATGACTCCTCCAACTGCAAGGAGTCCCAGACAGGTCTCTCAGCATATGTTCCACATTATCTTCCAGAACCTTCCCAAGATCCTCCTCTCTGAACCGTGCATTGTTCCCTCCATGTTCATGTCCTGGCTGCTTCCTGGGTCTTTATCTGGCTGTTTCGAGACCAAAAGAGCAGCACCCCGAGCACCAACAGGACCAATCCTGCCACGCCCATCCGGATGGAATTCTCCATGGTGTAGTCTTGTGGGTGGGAGGCTGGAAATTGTGGGAAAACAGGTCACAGAGGTCAGGGCAGGACAATGTCAACCAGACCCTGGATTTCCACCCAGGCATCCCCTCCCCTTGACAGGACACCACCATCTGTGCTGAGCCCATAACAGACAGTGTCTCCTACTCACCACTCTTGGGGTCTGAGTTGTTCTGTGAGGGGCTGGTGGTGTCGGCTGCTCCTGAGAACCAGACAGGAGTGGGGCTGTGTGAGGAGTTGATGCCACTCAAGCCCAGTGTCCCCATAGCTCTCCCCTTTCTCATGACCTAACTGCTACCAGTCCCTCCATGAACCCTTTCTCTGCTGGAGAAGAGTCCTGCCTGCTTTCATAGATTCTTTCAGGCTCCCTGGGAATTTTGAGTTTAGACTTTACTTCTAAGTCACTTTGGATCACAGTTTGGCTTTTCCTGGAGAATTGAGGATTGAGCAGAAATATGGGCTCACTATTTAGAAAATGGTGAGTATTTATTTATTTAAAATCCTCACCGGAGGATATTTTTTCCATTGATATTCAAAGAGAGTAAAAGGGACAAGGGGATGGGGAGAGAGAGAGAGGAAGAGAAAAACATTGATGTGAGAGAGACACATGGATCGGTGCCTCCTGCACAAGGCCCGACAGGGGCCAGGGATCACACCTGTGACCTTTGACTGGGAATTTAACCCACGGCCCTGTGGGGCATGGGCTGGTGCTATAAGCAATGAGCCACAGCAGCCAGGGCCATAATTAGCTATTCTAATCTCTGTTCTCATTGTGGATTCTGTACCAGGGAAACTAACTCATGTGCTTATATTTTGAGAGCTTACTTTTTTGCAACAGCGAGGACCCAGGATCCACGCATTTGGTCTCTAATATGTAGACATTCATATATGTCAAACCTGAGCAATTATTGAGCTCTGAGTGTGGACAATTTAATGAATAAAACTACAGAATGCACCTGAAGTCAAATATAAACCATTTTAGCCCTGCTGGCATAGCCCAGTGGGTTAGTGTCAAGCTATGATCAGGAGATCACAGTTCGATTACTATTCAGGGTACATGTTTGGGTTGTGGGTTCCATCCCCTGTGTGGGGCATGCAGGAGGCAGCCGATCAATGATTCTCTCTCATCATTGATGTTGCTATATATCTCTCTCCCACTCCCTTCCTCTCTGAAATCAATAAATATTTTAAAAAATTAACTTTTTGTAGCATCTTTTATAAGAAACTTCATGTTAATAAGAAGTTACTCCTCATAATAAATACATAGATTTACTATAATCCCAACAAAAAAAGAATAAATCCATGTTTTTGAAGTCATAAATGTTTGCAGGTTAAAAATTATATATGCAAGTATTGTCTACAAGTTCCCAGCGAAAGAGCAATAATAGAGAAGTATGCACAGAAAGTGAAGACAGCAAACTTGAATTTCACACAGAGGTCTGGGTAGGACCTCTGGTTCCTCATGAGGCCTCCATGGTCCCACTGAGTCTCCCAGGTGAGCACTGAGGGCCTGGAGGCCTCCAGGGGACACAGGGTTTTGCAGAGTGGTGCCCACAGGTGGGAACACTTCTCACGACAGCAGTGTGTCCAGTGGAGACGGCGCTGTTACCTACAGCAGGTAACACGTTGGGCAGAATAGCCACCTGTCCTGCTCTTAGAAGGCTCAGGGACACCATCTGTGAGGGTGAGGGCTTCCATCCAAAGGGCTCTGGAAATGAGCAGCTGAGGGAGTGTCCCCCTGTCCTCTCTCCACCTCTCTGGCCTCTCCTCCTCCCTCAGCCTGGGCCCCCACATCTCCCTCTGCTATGACCACCCCACCTGTCACCTGCCTCACTTCCCCCTCTTAGGCCTGACTCTGTAGTGGGGGAGAGGTGAATCCTCAGAGACTCTGGAGGACTGTGGTCCCACTTAAATCTCTCCTAGAATCCCTGACCACCCCCCCCCCCCCCCCCCGGACAGAAGCCTGTCCTTAAGTGTCAGGGTGGCATTAGGTCCTCTGAGAGACCAAGAACTGCCCTGGGGTGGTCTAGCTGCCTCTGAGCTTAAGGGACCCAGTGGTTCATCAGCTGTGGACATGGGCCCTGTGGGTGGGGGGCTGGGTCCCAGAAGTTCCTGGGAAGGAGGACGGAAGGGGGTGAGGATCTCAGACTGACCCTGGACTCCCCACCTCACTCAGATCCCCCTGCATCTGCCCTGTGGCCCCTCAACCCTCCCACTGCCCACCTGGCACCTTCAGGATTCAGGGGAAGTTGGGGTGGGGCTCTCAAGAGCAAATGTCTTCTGGGTGACCATCCCTAGTGCACCCCATTCCCTTCCAGCCCATGATCCTTCTGGGGACAGGACCCTGAGCTGACAGCTCAGCAGACATGGTCAGGGACCCTCACCTGAGACGAGGAGCTGCAGGGGCTCACTGGGGAGTGACAGCAGGTAAGGGATGGAGCTGTGTGAGCTGTAGCACCTGTAGGTGCCCCCGTGGGCTGAGGTCACAGGACTCATGGAGAACTCTGCCTGGAACTGCTGAGCTGGATGCTTTGATCTCAGACGCAGGAGGGGGGGATATGCCCCCTCCTTGGACAGAAGGAACGTGTCCCTCAGGCTCCGTGACTGACACAGCAGGGTCACGTTCTCTCCTGAGGCCGCCCTGGGGCCTGGCTGCACCGAGAGGGAGGGCCTGTCAGACAGCCATCCTAGAGAGAGAGAAGGAGGATGAGGGCTGCCTGCCTACTGTGTTGTGACCTGAGAGTCAACAGGCCACTCTCTGAGGACCCTCCTCTCTGTCTGTCTCTGTTTCTCTGAGTCTCCCCTCTCCCCTCCAACCCCCGGCCTATCTCTGTCTCTCCCCCTCCCTGGGGCCCTGCACTGTCATTCTGGCCTCACCACCTGAGACCCCAGCAGGGCCTGTGCAGAATTTCGTCCGTGACTGAAACCACTGGCTCCTCACCTGCCACCAGAATGTCCAGGGGGTCACTGGGGGCCGACCACTCAGAGGAGAGGTTGTATCCACCGTAGCATCTGTACCGGCCCCCGTGGGAGCTGCTCACAGTGTCCATGGAGAAGTGAGCTTGGGGCTGCAGGACAAGGCTCTGGGGGAGGTCCCGTCTCCCCTCCTTGTGAAGAGCAAATCTGTCATAGCCGACATCAGAGCGACACTGGAGGGTCAGGCTCTGTCCAAAGGCCACGATGGGGCCCTGCTGGGTCAGGAGAGAGGGCTTCCCAGACTCACCTGGGGAGAACAGACATGAGTGATAGGGGCTGCTCCTCCCATAACCTCATCTCCTGGGCTGGACCCCAGTTCTCACTGTCTCTCTATGTGTCTCTGGTCCAGGAGCCACTGTGCTCCCTTCCCCTCCCCCTCTCATGTGGGTCTCCCCTCACAGTAAGGATGCCCGTATGTGTATGTTAAGTCAATCGATTAATGGAACAATAATGGGACTCACCTGAGAACAGGAGCTCCAGGGCATCACTGGGGTGTGACCACACCTGGGGGCTGTTCCTGTAACAGCCATAGCATCTGAAGGTCCACCTGTGACTGGGGGTCACGGGGCCAACAGGAAACAGGGCCTGGTACTTCCTGCTGGGCTGTGGCTGTGAGTCCTGGGCCCAGGAGATCCTGTGATCGCCTTCCTTAGTCAGAATGAACCTGTCAAATCCCTGCCCTGAGCCACACTGGAGGGTCACGTTCCCTCCTGAGGTCAGGACAGGGCTGGGCAGGGCTGAGAGTCTGGGTTTGCTGTAGGATCCTAGGAGAAGCGGAGGCAGTGTGTTAAATGGGCTCACATCTCCCTCATGTCCCCCAGGGCTGGGCTGTGAGAGGGAGACACCCTGAGAGCAGACCCCCTTCCTGAGGGCAGAGCCTGAGGCTGGGATCCCTGAGTGTCCTCTCACCTGTCACCACCAGCTCCAGGGGGTCACTGCGCTCTGACCAGCCAGCAGGACTGAGATAGTAACAGTGATATATCCCTGCATCAAGCTCTGTCATTTCTGGGATAGAGAACATCACCTTGTCCCCAGACTTCAGTGGCTTCTCTCTTTTCCACGGTGCTGGGCTTCCCTCTTTATTCAGACGGTACTCCTCAGCCCCTGGGGTCTCCTGACACCAGATGGTCACGAGGCTCCCAGAAGGGATCACAGGGTCTGGCTCAGCCCTGATGGTGGGTTTGGGGAGGGGCCCTGGAAGGAAACCAGTAGCTGGGTTTAAGACATTCTCACCCTCAGTCCCAGCTGTCAGGCCAGGACCTTCCCAGGTGTTACCCATCTGTCAGCCCAGAACTGCTCTTCTCCATCCCCAGCTGCCTGGGGGGTGGCCCCTCATCCCCAGTCAGGAGTGGGACCTGGGACACCTGGGGAGACTCACCTGCCTGCACTGGTGTCCTGAGGCCCACACTCAGCCCTGGAAGAGAGTCCCTGTGAGAGATTTGCCCTGAGCCCTGAGCACCTCCCTCCTCCCCATGAGCCTCCTGAGTCCTGGGGTCCTGACAGACCAGGGCTCCCTCCCCCCCTCCCATCTCACCGAGGCAGAGCAGGGCCCTGAGGGTGGAGGTCATGGCGTCTCCTCTCTCTGCACCTCACTGTGCAGATGCAGGAGGCCACAGTGTCCTCTGAACAGACAGACACACAGGGTGTGGCCACTGGGAGGCTGGCCCTCCCTGTGACAAGATTCTCACATTAGCAGCCCCACAGAAAGGGGAACCTTCACTTCCCAGAGGCCTGCATGTGGTTTCCCTGGTGAAGCAGGAAATAGACCCTGAGCCCCCTGAGATGCCCCTTGCAGGTGAGGTGACCCAGGGCACATCCTTCCCTGTCAGAGCCTCCCCCATGGGGTCTCCTTCCTCCTCCGCCCGTCCATCAGCACCTCCCTGTGGTCTCACCATGGACAGTGTCACCCGGGCCCTGGAAACGCTCCAGGAAGATGTGGGTCCCTGTGGCCTGCAGAGCTCAGATCAGCAGGGACACGCTCACTTCTTACTGTGCTGCTCAGGGCGATGTCCCTGTGACAATGATCACAGAGGCAAATGCAGAGAAATAAGGGAAGGAAACACATCACTTCTCCTGGCCCTGAGTGTGGCTCTCTTTCTATCATAGGTGCCCTCATGGACTTCTCTTTTTTTTTTCTTAGCCATAGCATCTACCACACCATCCTGGGGACAAGCTTCTGAGGCAATTTTCCTCCTCAGGGCCCTTTGTTTCCTGTGCTAAAGTTTCTTCCTCATCCTGTGGTCCTGCCTTCAAGCTTTAGAGGACACTGATTTGGGTTGGACTTCTGATGTTGACTTAAAACAGATATTTATTTATTTATTTATTTATGTATTTATTTCTTATTTTTGTTGCTTACAAGAGACCCATTTTATTATTTGTAAATGCTTATTGTTGAAAGTATTACAGATATCACCTTTTTTCTCCCCATTGTACCCCAACACCTGGTTCCTTCCCAGGCCTTCATCACCCTATCACCTGTGTCCATTGTTAATGCATATCTACTTATATAAAAACCCTGGGTGTAACATCAGGGCCAGAAGTGCGACCAACCGGGAGGAAGTCAGTCCTGCAAGGGTCATTTTGGAAATGACTGCATCCTCCCCCAGCTGTTTTTTGGAGGGCAAGATTTTAGGCTGGAACCTGCACTCAGGGTGAGGTTTCAGGCAGGAACCCACCCTCAGGGTGAGGTTTCAGGCAGGAACCCGCTCTCGGACTGGAGCGTGGAAGTGCTGAGTCCTGGGTTGCCTTTCCAAGGGCTGCACCCTCCCCGAGCTGTTACCTGTGAGGCCTGAGGGAAGAACCCACCCTTGGAGCGCCAGGAGCACCCAGCAGCAGTCAGTCCTGGGTTGCTGAGGCAGAGGCCACGGAGTAGTAGAACTCTGGGTCTGGCCCAACAGGGGGCATGGTCGGCCTTCAAACCAGACCCTGACAGTAGGGAGGAGGCAGCCCCATTCCTCACAGAATCTGCTGTTGGATAGCTTGCTGTCAGTGGCCTGCCAGCCAGGAACCCCATTCACCTGCACCCTGGAACCTGACAGGAGGGAGGAGGGAGCCCCATCACTCAGGGAATCGACAGGTGGCCAGCTTGCTGTCAGGGGCCTGCCAGCTAGGAATCCTATTCACCTGCATATCTGTATAAAGTTTTAGTACATAATATTAGAGGTCGTTTTGTGGTACTGTTTTACCCACAGCGTCTACAGGAATTGCTGCATAATTTACTTCTCGGTGGAAGCACCTTTCATTCCCAATATAAATTACCGATTCCATTA